TTAATAAAAAAAATGGTTTTAGCCTTCAAACCATTAAAAGAAGTTTTAGAATAATAATAATTCTTTGAAAAMGTTACCATCCATGCTCTAACGGTAAAGATTAGTTATTTTCGTCAAGACTGCCGACATAAATTATAAGGACATTATTGTAATAACCAATCWTTGACAAGGACAAATCAGTAATTTCATCAACGAAAGCCCAAGTTAGAGGGGGATGATGCCGGAAACAGGAATCCAAAACCACGGCTGAGATCCATGTTTCTGTTTAGGAGCCTTCATCATCAAGCATAACTCGGAATCTATAAATCACTTATTCTCCTTCCTTGTATAAAAATGGCTCTTCGATCCCTGCAATCATCATCGATCATCACCGTCTTTCTCGTCTCCATCTTCATCATCACCATATCATCATCAATGGCAGAAGCTGATTCATCCAAGTCTGTACCAGCGACAGTAGAAGCAACAGTTCATATTGTTTACACTGAGCGACCTCAAGACGAAGAACTCGAATTCTATCACCTTCGCACTCTCTCTTCAGTCCTCGGCAGGTATCTTCTCTCTTCTATYGTTATTGTTTTATGTGTACGCATCGGATCAATAAAATYATAAAYATGTAGAAAATTTATKAATTTGCTTGAGAACGTTTCAATTCTTTTTACTAGATTTGTACGTTGATTATGACTTCTGTCTCGAAATTGAAGTCCGCTTTTGCTATAAGAATTAAACGAATTAGGTTCTAAGTTCAGAATTGGTAAGAATAGTTTTCGGTATATTGATAWTAAGGCAAATCTTACAATAGAATATGTTTGTGAARGGAACTGTAGAACCATAACTGTTTCGAATTTGAAACGGCTTGAAAWTTTCAGTATATAATTTGMTGCAACTAAAGGAAGGATGGAGTATTATCGTTTCTCCCTAGAAATCGATGGTTTTGTTACTTCTAAGTTTCATTTGATTGAAATAAAAATGAAAGTGAAATGTKGTTATATTTATGGGACAGATAAATGCTTGTATTTATGTCTTTGAATTTTGAGTTTGTTGATGTAAGGTAATTTGTTTACTGATAAATAGCGAGGAGGCAGCAAAAGGGGCTCTGTTGTACACGTACAAGCATGCAGCTTGTGGGTTTTCTGCCAAGCTCACTCCCAGCCAAGTTGAAGAAATTTCGAGTATGATGCCTTCCTCTCTTTGTATCTCTTTTTCTTGCATATMTTTTGGAGGATTGGATTCAGTCTTTTGTTTGTATGGGCAATTTAGTGATCATAATATAGGATGGATCTTACTTGGGTTCTTGAGGTAAAAAACAGTGCGAACTAAAATGAAACAGAAGTATGAATTACCAAAAARGGGCATAATACACCCGAACCAGAAAAGAAAAATACATGCGGGACAAATTTATCTCCAAAAGAGGCTAACAAGGCASTAGAAACATCAGTYAGAGCCCTGACTCTGCCCCATTCAGATAACMACACACAGCCTTCTGAAACATCAGAAGAAAGTGATGCTCATTTTTTAAGATTCAGCAATTAYGCTTGATCCTAAATAATCACAACAGCATATGATATCACCTTSTGTGTGGATTCGAGAGAGAAAAAGTATATGTTCAGTTATATGCTTTTATAGTGCCTTTATGGTGGTGTTAAAATCTATCTAGGAACAGTTAGAAGTTYTGTTGATGCTGGTATGCTGGTAGCCTTGGTGTTGTTAGGGTGTTGGATTTSTAGGATAYATTTTCTTAAACTTATGATACAGCTGATGGAATTTCTAATCATGACATGAAGTAGTAGAAAGGCATCAGAAACATTACAATGCAATATGGACATGCAGGCTTTGGTTGGGTGTTGGTCAACCTTGATTAATCCGTATTTAATATTTCATCTGCATGAGGAAGTGGGATGTCCTTGGCTTATTAATTAGGAATGTCATAGTCCAACATCGGCTAGACTTGGACACTTTCTTCTCAATATATGCTGGGACCCCCCCCCCCCCCCCCTACTTCTGTCCTAAGAACTCTTTTGGTGAGTAACCTATACTTTCACAAGGAAGAAATACAAATGTAACCACATTCATTTTATAAGGCACACAACTTTTTGTGTGAGACGTATACGGACTTAATTTCCCAACATGTCCACCAAGTGACCTATTTCACATGGAAGTGACATACATGACTAAACACAAAATATAGGTCCCCTTTGAGATATTACAGCAATTTATAACTATTATATTTCCAAGATTTATGAATATAGCCAGACAGGGAACACATATTAGTTATTTATCTACTARTCTACAATATTTTGGGGACCTAAGGTGATCAGAAAAGCCCAAACCTGGCCATCATACAATCTTATATCAACTACCTAGTTTTCTTCCATAGGTATGATTCCTCATGTTAATCAATGAAGTCATTTTCCCAAATTTTCATAGCAAATGTGCAGATCTTTATATAATTCTTATTCGTTACAACTTACAACTTTCATAGCATGCAATATACTTATCTGACAATGATAACCATTTTAGTTTTTTATTACTTCCTGCAATAAGTGGACCGTCAAGCACTTGATCTTCTACTTCCTCAGAATACATACACTTTGTATCGAAAACATTTAACCCAACCAGGTCAACCTGCAAGTTCTTATTTTGGCAGTGATGTTCTTTTAGTTGTGCTTTGATCTCAGTGACTGACCTCTTTGGCCTTAGTTTCATTCTATTTTGCCATGATCATATTATTGGTTTTTTCAATTCCCATGCTTTTTATCATTCTCAATTTTCAATTGGCTGCACCTTGAAATTAAAACAACTTATAAATTGTTAGGTACTGCTTTTAATGCGTAATCCTTAAAAGTTAATTTTACAACTTATTAAAGGCCTACGTTTGAACTTTATAAAACTTACTGAGAAACATAGTTTAAAATAAGCCCATTTGTCTAGTATTTACTAGCGAATTTGATCTTTCTTTACTTTTTTCTAATCTATTCAAGATAATTACGTATTTACAAAATACCGTCTCAATTCATCCTATTTCATCAGATTCGCCCCTGGCCCGTAAATGGACCTTTATGAGCTTCTAAAATATCTTTTAGACCATGACCAATGCCCCAGTTGGTCCTATACATGTGACCCGCTATCAGGAAAAGATACAAGATAATCATCGAGCTCTACAAATGCGGCAGAATACTCTATATATCTTTTGGATTTTTTAAGAAGGAACTGCATTAATTTTCCATTCGGTTGCATTGCATGGATACACATCTAGTCATGACAAAAAACATATTTCTAATTGTTTATGTTTTGGCAGAACGACCAGGTGTTCTTCAGGTGGTCGAGAGCAGGACCATTAAGCTGCATGATTCACCTGCAATGCTGTAGCACTTCTGAAGTCGATAAAAGGGTAACGATAAAGTTGGTTAATGGAATATGACTGTTTTACCCTTCTAATCCATTATTATATACAAATATACAATCTATCGCGGTTGTGCTAAACAAGTGTTCCTGTCTGTAAATAAATGCTTTCTGGTTTAACCAACAGTTGTCTTTTGAGTTTTGAATAACGTTAGTAAGCTATTCGAAGGTAAACAATGGGATTGTGTTTGGAGGTTGCTAAACCGATAAAACCTTGGGATTGTTTCTTGTGTTCACATGTTAGAGGCTCATCATGGCCATTGGAGGTTTGCCTTATAGCTAACATTATCGGTGTCCTATTGACTTTCTCGAACCATATATGTTCGCTTACAAGAAGCACAAACCACATTCATCACAGATGTATCATGTCAAAGAATTTTTCAATCTCGATGTGTTTATGTACAACCGCCACAACAACTAACTGAAGTTGGTGAGCAAAACAATGGACATAATATGCTGAGCTATTTTCTCTCATGATTAAAGCTTTCAAACCATTGAATTGGCCATGCATATTGCTTGCTCCATCATAACCTTGGCCTCTAACCTTTTTCAAACTAAAATCATGTTCAACAAATAAGAATTCAATCGCAGATTTAAGAGATAAAGCATTTGTGTCATTTACTTGTACAAGACCAATAAATCTTTCCTTAACAATCCCATATGTAACATATCGCAAAACCACAGCCATTTGTTCCTTTTTAGATATGTCACTCGACTCGTCAACTAATAAAGAAAACACATCATCATCAATCTCTTGGAAAATATGTTTGAGTACCTCTTATGCAAAGCAGTGAACGTTGAATACTTGGCGCTACCATTAGATTATTACCAAGAGCATTTTCTAATATAATCTTACCAACAGCCTCATTTTGATCCCGGATTAATTTTATTAATTCCAAGAAATTTCCCCTATGAAGAGACGTTTATGACTCATCATGACCACGAAAAGGTAATGCAGCATTCAACAAAAATCTAGCAACATCAACAGAAGCATTCAACCGAACACGATAATCATTCGTCTAAATATCACTTTGTTTATGTAAGGCGGCGACAATTGATTGACCATGTCCCATTAGGTCCTCACATTTTTTAACAACTCTTTTGTGGAAACTATTAATGTGGCCCACATGAGTAGTTAATCTCTCGGTTTTATTCCAACTACTAAAGCCTTCAGTTAAAAAAGCACCACTCCCACCTTGTCCACCACATTGATCTCTAAATAAGTAACAACATAAACAAAAAGCTTTATCTACTTTTAATCTATACTCCAACCAATTACCGTATTGATCAAACCAAACCGGGTTAAAACGTCTTGCCTTGTTCCCAATTATTCTTCATGGAAAGTCGTGACCACGTGGTTGACATGGTCCTTTAATCAAATAGTTTCGTCTGATTTCATCTATTTGATTAGGATGATATTGTAAAATTCTTCCTTTCAGCTGGATCCGATGGAAGATTATTCAAATCAACTTCCCTAGGCATCGAGGGAAGATCATTGCGCAAGTTGTTTAAAGGTTCTCCACTATTATCGGACGTTGATGCCTTTCTTTTCAGAAATCTTTCCATCTTCTAGCAAAAACAAGGGGACAAATACATCATATTATATATATATATATATATATATATATATATAAATTAAATAGAAACAAAGGAAGTCTTATATATGAACATGGGGATGGAAATTACAAATACAAATTAAATAGCAAATGAGCATCTATTAAATATTAGTATTTGTCCACTCTACCTACTCATATTAATATTTAATAGTTTACTAAAAACTTAAAAAGCCTTAATTGTCTATCTACTTTTTACACTTTACCAAAAGCTTAAAAAGCTTCAATTTTCTCTAATGAAGCATACCTGCAGAAATGGAGTAAACTAAAAAGTAAGTGATAACATTTGTTTTCATCTAAGGCCTTCAAATATCTTTTTAAAGTATATGGATCATATGGATGTATTATTGGGCTGCTGGGCAATTATGTAGAATTTACTTCACATTCAATGGGATTCCACAATGGCATATGATATTCTATTTTTTTTAAGTATATAATGATATTCTATTATTTATGGTTATCTTTAACTACTCTTCTTATGTAACTACTCTTTTGAAGTTTTGATGCTCTATTATTTGCAGCAAGTTGTAAGCAGTAAGCAGAGCTGCAGAAGCAGTAAACCAAAAGCTAACAAAATGGAAAGCAGAAGCAGTAAGTTTTGCACTTCTGTTTTTACTCGACTAAAAAATGGAAAGCAGATTCAGACTAAAAAAAATGGAAAGCAGTAAGCTGTAAGCAGTAAGCAGAAGCAGTAATGAAGTAGTAAGCATCTGTGATGAAGTAGTAAGATGAAGTAGTAAGACAAGCAGTAAGCAGAAGCAGAAATGAAGCAGTAAGCAAAAATGAAGTAAGCAGTAAGCAGAAATGAAGACAAGCAGTAAGGAGAAGCAGAAATGAAGAATACCTGGTCTACGTCTGCCAGAGAAGAGTGCTGGAGTGGGCACTGGTGAAACTTAAAATCGCCGGCAACTAGTTGGGGGACCCTGGAAAAACCTAATGGGGGGAAGTGCAAGGTAACTAATGTAAAATCCTAAATTTTAACTTAGGTAAATAATTTTTGACTTTTTGACTGGGTCCTTCCCCTTCCCCTCCCCCCCCCCCTTTTAACCATTGTGTATGTCACTGTTCATATGACACTTAAAAATTCATAAGTAATGAAGCCAAAAAAGTGGTAACCGGACAAAAGTAACCATTTTAAAGTTTAAAATTACAATTTTAACCCTAAAGTTTTAAACTACATAAAAATAGCCACTACGTACCTCTTACGTACCAAGTCGTGCGCATAGTGACCAAAATGCAAAAAGAAAAAAGTTTTATGACATCGATGTGACAAGACTAGACCGACTTGACTCATGGCTTTGACCACATTTCAACACCCTTACGCACCGGCCGATGCGCGGTGCGTAAAGGGCCCACCTCCAAAAAAAAAATTGTTCTTTCACACAATATATATATCCGGATACAGTTTTTACCTTCTAATACAGTTTTTACATAATATCTGGATTATATATGACTTCTAATACAATTTTTACCCAAAAAAAAAAATTTATTTTCTCCAAATTCTCAAGGATCAATGTCTGTGATTGAGAAAGTTAGAGTACATGTTTTTTGTGGAGGTTCGTGGCAGTTAGTCAACGACGTGGTAGATTATATTCCAGAAACGCAAAGAGCTGTTGTATTGTTGCCGATACACTTAACATATCTAGGTTTGATCAATTATTTAGCTAGAAAGTTAAACTTACCTGATTTTCAAAATCGTTTTAAGTTAACATATAAATCTCCGTCATCTGGTTCGATGGTCGAATTATTTGATACCGATGATACGAGACATTTTTTGGCTATTGGTGTGGATATTTTGCTGCAAGCCCTAAGATTGTATGTTTGTGGCAGGTGTAGGATCGTTCGTGTTCACCTAGTGGGCAGAATGTCCTCACAGTGGCGGTGCAAGAGCACGCCGACACTATGATCGCTTGCAAGTAATAAAGTGATACAAAGTACCAAGATCGTTCCCACAGAGAAGGTAGAGATTTATAGATTTTTCATGAACTTCTTGTACGAGTTTCGAGATGTAAAATAAAAGTTGGATTTTTGTTTATAAAAAGACCGAAATAGGACCGACTAGCTAAATAACGAAATAAACTTCTAATATTAAAAGATGGGCATGGGTGCAAGTGTTGCTGAAGATAAAATTAACAATAAAATGGTTAGACTTTTACGAGTTGTTTATAAAAGTTCCAATCTCTCGAAAGTGAACTTTTATAACCGGGCCTCATAAAATTCCATAAGGTTTTTACATTTACCACTTCGCAACTTGCCGATCTAGCTAAAAAGTAAAAGRAATGCGATTTTTACCCAAATCTTTTTGTGATAAAAATACCTATTGCTTAGCCCCTAGCTAGATGCATACAAAATTCACGTCTCCACGTAATTATTCAAAGACCCTCTCGAGTTCATTGTGCATCACTTAAGCCGTATTTCGGATCCGCCCATCT